CGCAGCGAAGCGCAACTAGGGGGAGCGGCAGCTGCAGACCACACATCTCCCACACACACTGACGCGCTAGGAGGCCGCGCGCAGCAGCCTGCAGCCTCACCGCTGCCGACACGTGGCGGGTAGTGATCCAAGCCGGAAGCGGTGACGGCAACGGCGGGAACTTGATCTGCTAGATGGGGACACCCTGGGGAAGTGGTGATGGTGACGGCGGGAACTTGATCTGGTGGATCGGGACTCCTGCCGGCGCGGTCGATGCAGGGTCGAAGCTGACCGGCGATGGCTGCTGCAACTGCAACTGCTGTTGTGGTGTCGCGCCGGGCAGCGGCAGCGGCTGCTACGGCAGAGCGCCGGGCGCGGCGGAGGCCGCCAGGAGCGGCGGCTGCCACTGCAGCCAGTGCGGGGCGGTGGTGGCGGTGGATGGCAGCTGCAGCGGCCCGGCGAGCGCGGCGGAGGCCGCCTGGTGAGGTGACTGCCACAGGAGTCACTGCGGCGCGGTGGCGGCGATGGGCGACGTAGCCGGGTGCGGCCCGTAGGACCCTGCCAAGAACAGGCGGATCTCCTGGACCGCCTGGGTTAGGTCCCGCAGCGCCCCGGCACCTCCTCCGAGGTGAGGACGGCGGGGGCGGGCGCTACAGAGGATCCCGGAGCGGGCCGACGGTCGTGGTGGTCGCCGGAGGCGACGAGATGACCGGCAGCGGAAGAAACGGGTTGGGCGGCAGTGAAGACATGATCAAACCAAAGCTAGCTGATACCAATTGTTATGTGGCTGCTAGAAGGAGGGCGCGAGAGGGCCGGCCGGGGGCCTTTTTGCCCACGGCCGGGCAAGAGGGAAGGGATTTCCTTCTTAATTCTTGCTTGATTAGATTGATACATCTCCTCTCTTTATATAGAGAGGTTTACTTGACTCCAAGCAAGGCTTACTTGACCCCTAAGCAAGCGACTCTTATCTCTAGTTAACCCTAAGACTAACTGGCTATACCGCCAGCCCAGGCCATTAGGCCCATTACGTACTCTAACACATCTGCTCTCTATGAATCATCCCTATGCCTCCATACGGAAATGTCTTTTCTTTGGTGTTTGTGGAAGGCTAGGAATGATTGACTTTTTCAAAGGAAAATCTCATTCCCCCATCAGGTGCACTTCATGGAAAAGGCAATCTCTGATTGTTGTAATATGGTTGTAACTCAGAACCCCAGCCATGCTGATTCTTAGCGAACCATAACTTCCCCCAGGCCCAATGTTGTGCCTACGCAGGGTGCTACTATTTCTTCAGATCTTCTTATTGCAGGTCCTAAGATTTACTCTGACGCCTCGTGGAAGAACACTAAGATTCCAGGAAGATCACACTTGCAGGATACAAGGCTTGGGAAAAAAAATCATTTCGTGGATGGTGCCTACTAGCAGCATCATGATACAAGCCTCCATGGCGCAGGCCCCTTCCTCTCTTCTGGCTGAAGCTGGAGCTCTCTGGCTTGCTGCGGCTTTTGCAAAGTAGCTTAATTTGCAGGAAGTTACATTCTTCAAACACAATTTGACTTTGGTCAAAGCAGCAGCTCAAAAAAAGCATCACTGCTTCTGAAACTAGATGGCAGATCAGGAAACATCTTGCAGATTTCTTCAGCTACACCAAGCAGATTTCCAGAGATATTAATGGTGTAGCCCACAATTGTGCTCATCAGGTTTTTTCTAGCAATGTGGAACCTGTCTTTAGTTGTAGTATCAAACAAGCTCATAGCCAATTTAGCTGCCCTTTCTTACAACATCTGTTAGTGCTTTTTTTTTTCGGGGGACATCTGTTAGTGCTTGATTGGCCAAGAGTTGTAATCCATGCTGTAACATGTACATGAGCGTGGTTTTAAATGAATTTGGCACCTTGAGCGCCGCTCCCTTGTTCAAAAAAACTAAAAAAAGCTTTCTGGCAAGCTGCAGAGAAACAGCCTTGGGTAAAACATTAGCATAATGCGCCTAATGGCATCACACAACACAACATAGAAATACCTTGCTGGCAATAGTAAAGTTCGACTCTTTGTAATCCTGCATTCTCATGGTCGAAGGATATGTACCAGTTAGATGACTCATGAAAGGGCAATAAAATTTCGACTTCTGAATTTGGAATTGCATTTAGCTAGGAAATTTGTTCCCCGTACAAACTTTGTTATATATACAACTATTACTATCATCGCAGATTATGTTAAGCCATTTTACGAAGTACAGATGATTGCTAAAAGTAACAGGCTAATTAAAACAAGATGTTCAGCCATTTTCCAAAGATGTTTCCAGCTACTTAAAACAAGTCAAAACTGGAACATGCATATAAGCCAAAACTTAACTGCATCATTAAAGATAAGTTCCAAGTAAAGTCATAGAAAACCAAGATCCATTTTCTAAAGGAAAATGCAGACCAACATCTCACCAAAAACATGACTTCACGAGAAACGAATTAGTTTCAGAACATAAGCAAAACAACCAAGGATCAGCCAATAGATATTTGAGAAATGGACCTTAGTTAACGAATAAGATTTGCAAGCATTTGGGTGAAGCTTTCATGAATTATTAGCCCAGCCACCCAAACCCAAAAATAAAATAAAAGTAAGAGGCTTCATGTAGTGCTCCAGCTGAGCATTACAATTCCAACTGATATAAGCCCAACTATTAAGTCAAAATCATTCAAGGAAAAGAAGTCATAGATGTGAAATATCAGAAGCGTCTCACCTCCCTTGGGAGGCCGCGTAGTGCTTTATTGATTGATCGGGGCTTATCCCGTGTAGCGCATACATTGTTCTGTTACAGCCGTGGTTGGCAAGGAGAGAATAAAGAAGAAAAAGCAACAGTGAGAAGTAAATAAGCTAGTGGTAGACGGTGAGCGAATGCAAGCCTTCCGATCTTCTTCTCCGTCGTCGATCCCCAGCCGTTCATTATCTGAACCGGTACAGTTAACTGAACACTAGAACACCTTGCAAGTTCAGTCTGACAATGCCCCCTTGCGAGCGCGATCTTGCCTTCAAGTAGCTGAAGGTTGACTTTGCCATGCTTCGACTGTTTTCTTGGAAAAAGGCTGGGAATGTATGCTTCATGAAATCCACATCTTCCCAAGTTGCATCATCCAGTGGAAAATTCTCCCATTGTACAAGCCATTGGACAACCGGTCGATTGTTGCGAGGGATCTGTTGGGTCTGAAATACGATACCAGGTTCAGTTCTGGTACGCTCTTCAGGATCACCTAGAGGTAAATCAGCACAGGGAACTGCATTGGGTCCGATGTGTTTCTTCAGCTGGCTGATGTGGAACACTGGGTGGATACCCATGTTTGCAGCTACAGGTGATATGTCACGTTGCCCACATGATACAGTACTCGAAATGGTCCGTAAAACTTGCTTTGCAGCTTGATGTGAGAGAGAAGGCCGAAAGCATTCAGACGATATGGTTGAAGCTTCAAGTAAACCATTGTCACCTACTGCGAGAGTCCTTCCAACTCGCTTGCAATCTGCATATTTCTTCATGCGCTGCTGGGCGATTAAGAGATTGTACTTCAGTGTTGACAGCAGTTGTTGTCTGCCAGTTAAGGAACCCTATGCCTCACTGTCAGTAGTGCCTTCCATAGAGAACTCATTGATTTGTGGCTGTGGATATATATCCATATATAAGGCCTCAAAAGGAGTCTTTTGGAGAGACGAATGAAAGGAACTGTTGTACCAGTATTCAGCCATGGGTAAATGCTGGACCTGTTTCTTCGGATCAGTAGAAACCATGCAGCAAAAGTAATTTTCAATACACTGGTTCACACCTTGACCTTGCAAGTTCAGTCTGACAATGTCGCATTCTCCATTGGAGATGCATTTTGATGTATGAGTTCCATATCAAGAAAGACTTTCTCCAAAGATGTTTCCAGCTAATTAAAACAAGTCAAAACTGGAACAAAACCATATAAGCCAAAGCTTAACTGCATCATAATTCATAAACCAAGATTCTTTTTTTTTAAGAAAAGCCAACAAAGTGTAGACCGGCATTTCAATCAATAGTTTCAGAATAGAAACCAAACAACCATAAGGATCAACCAAACAACATATTTAAGAAATGGACCTCAATCAACAAACAAAATTTGAAATCATTTAGGTGAAGCTTTCACTGATTAGTGATCCAGCCACCCAGACCCAAAAATAAAATAAAATAAAATAAAGAGGCTTCATGTCATGCTCCAGCTAAGCATTACAAATTCAATTGATCTAAGCCCAACTGTTAAGCCAAAATCATTCAAGGAAAAGAAGTCATCCAATTTTAGCAAAGAAACCAATATTAAAGCACCGTGTCACATGCTGAGTATCAAGGCAAAATGAATATAAATCTGTTCTTAACAGTTCAACATGGAAAAAGAAGGACAGCAAGAACTTGAATAGCGAAAACAAACTGCTAACTATTGATAGGCAAAATGCTCACAGGTTATTATTATACTCCCTCTTCTAGTTCTGGAAAAGTTGTTGGTTTAGGCATGGGTTTAATTAACTTTTTCCAAACTTTGACTCGCTATATTTCAAAATATTTTTGGATTGGGTATGTGAAAACAATGAGTAGGTTTATCTCATAAACTATTTTCAAAACAATATTGTCTTGAAGAGCTTTACAGTAATAATGTATAATAAAAATAAAGGTTATCTCTCATAAAGTATTTTAAAGAAGTATAAATTTGAAGAGTTTTATAGTTAACGAAAATAAGCAGTAAAAGTTGCATTATGGGGGCTTCTTCAGAACTAGACTAGAGGGAGTAAGCAACACACACATTTTGTGGTGCTTCCCCATCAACCTAAAGCCTATATTTATTCACAAAAAAAACTAAAGCTTATTTAGAAGGTGTATACCATCCAATTTAAGAGATAATTTTTAATTCTGGAAAATTTAGTGGTTTTGATTTACGTTTTGTTAGTGTAAATAAACAGAAATTACTATGTAAAAGAGGGGGAGAGGTGGTAGATCTTACCAGTGTGTGTTACCTGATCTGACTGGAGCTAATGAGGGTTCCCAAATCCGACACCAAACCATCTTGTGGTTAACAGCTGAAGGATATTGTCTTTAACCTCGCAGTATCTTTGGGCCCAGCCTTTTGGTTCGGTGTCATCAACTCCTAAGCCAGGAGCCCGGTCCTTTGAGTCGAGGTTGATCGGATCTTTCCAATCAGCCACATAAGCGGACACGCGCCTCTTGAACTTGACTTTGAACTCCGACCAAGCTTGGTATTTGTAGTGGTTAACACGTGCCAACGCGGTCCAGATGCTTTTGAAAGCAGGCTTGAGCTTAAAATGATGGACCACATTCATGAGGGATGGTTCCACGGCGTCGAGACGGACCAAGGATTTGTGCCGCTGCGGGTTCTTCAACCGGCAAGTGTAGCCCTGGCAGACCCCCTCTGGTGGATGTGCTGTTTGGCCCGAGGGGGCAAAGTCATAACAAGCAAGGTATATTTGGCCAACGCTATCATCAACAGAAATGACGGGCTCGAGCAAAGATTTTGATGGCTTCTCTAATCCTGCCCAGCTTGTTGAGAAGATGAACTCATCAACATCTATGACAGCCATCCATTGGCACGAAGCTTGCTGTGTGGCCGCGCAATGAGACAGACCAGCTTCTTGGACCTTGGTCCAAGGCCATGGCACGGTTGTGATGTTGAGCCCGGAGGATATGAGCTGCGCCACTAGGCCTGCCAAGTTGTCCTCGCTGCCATTATCGTAGATAAAGAACTGATCCACCCCAATCGCACTATGGTAGAGTGCCCACTCCCTGAGAAACTTGGAGATGTTGCGTCCCATTGTGCAGGCGCAAATTGAACTCTTGTGGGGAGTCAGCGAAGAAGATTCAGCTTGCTGTCGACGAAAGGTTGCAAGGGAGGGCATGGGATCCTCGCCAGTGACCCCTAGTGTGACAAGAAACTTGGTGCTTCCTCCTGACTTGACAGGTGTAGGCGGCGAGGGGCAGCGAGTAACTTGCTGTACTGAGCTGGTTGCGGGCGTAGATGCCAGCATGGTACCGGCGCCGTCGCTGTAGCGATACAGGCACTGAAGACCTTGGCGGCGGCTGATTCCCTTAGCGAAGACGAGCACGTCGCCTCCGTCCAGAAGAGCCGAGTCAAACACTATCGGGTCGCTGCTCCAGTTAAGCAATGCGCGGCCCGGAGAAGGAGAAGGAGGATCTAGAGCAGCTGCGGCGGCCGAGGAGGTGGAGGAGTGGAGTAAGAGCGGCGCTTGGAGCTGCTGGAAGCTCTGCGCTGGCTCGGGAAGGCGGCAGACGTATGAGTGAAGCCCGGACGCCGGCAGCCTCCCGAGCGGTCTCGCCGGGGAGGACGCCCCACCCTGGAAGGCGCAGATGGCGTCGCCGGTAGGCTCAGTGTCGTCGAGGACCAGGACCTCCTGGTCGGGAAGGAGGACCGCATCCGCCTCCTGCGGCGGCGGCGAGTGGCCGGCGCGGAGGCGGAGGGGGAGAAGGCGCCGCGCGAGGCTGTCATCGCTGAGGCGGAAGGGCGAGTATTGGGATTGCGGGGACGGCGACGGCGACGGCGAAAAGTCGGCAGCGAACGGGAAGGGCGGGGGCGCCGGACTGTCGGCGACGAGCGGGAAGGGGGCGCCGAGGCCGAGGGGCAACGAGAAGACCGGGCGGCCCGAGTAGGCGTTGTGGCCTCCGCTTCCGGCTAACAGCAGGAGAGCTCCGACTGAGACGCCGCCGACGATGCGGCGCAGCCGGCTGCAGCGGCGGTGGCGCGGCATATTGGATTTGGCGGGAGCAGAGCAGGAGCTCGATTTGGCGGGAGCAGGAGCGTGGTTTGGCGGGAGCAGCGGGAGCTCGAAGGCGAAAGATTGAGATTTCGCGGGAGCAGGAGCAGAGCTTCGATTGCTGGGTTGCGACCGAGAAGACGGTCTCGATCGATCTGGGTTTAGGGTTTTCGACCCGACCCGAACACGGATTGGGTTTTTCTTTTCCCGAGTCAGGCTGGCGGGCCGCTGGGTCGGTTCCACTTCCCGCGTCGGTCGGGATTGGGCTCCACCACGTCATTACGATCAGGCAGGCTGCTTTTTGCAAAACGTGTTTTTTTTTACAATATAAAACGTGTCGCCTTCTAACTCCAAATCCACACTGAGCCTCCGGAGAGAGCGGTTAGGGTTAGGGTTTGCAGATCCATCCTATATCCCCGGCCTGAACAGATACTTCAAATCGGGTCATCCCGGAAAAAAATTGTGGGGACCCACATCCGCGAGCCCAATTCCGTCATATGCGCGGGATTTCGCCCGATTTTGCCGATCCCCCTTCCGTTGTCCCGAACCCATTTCTACCGGCTTCACCTCCCACCTCGCCGTCGCCGCCAATCCGTCCTCTGACCTCGTCGTTCTTCCTCGCGGCTCCGAAATTCAGCCGGATGGCCGCCCCCTGGTGCGTCATACCATGCGTCGCCGCAGCTCTATACGCCCTGGCCTCCCACGGCCGCAACTCCTTCCGCTGCCGCTCCAATTCCTTCCGTCGCCGCTCCATGTGTTGCCTTCTAACTCCAAATCAACACCGAGCCTCCAGAGAGAGCGGTTAGGGTTAGCAAGGCGAAAAGGAGGCGACAGGGTCCTTTTGCGCTTCGTCGGCCGTTGCTGGTTTCCTCTCCCTTCATCGGCCGCTCTAGCAATAGTATGGAGGAGGAATCTCGGATCTATGCGTCGGGTGTGTTCTTAGCAGGGTTAGGGTTGATTAAGACGTTGTTGAGGCCGCGTCGCGTCAACCAGACCATAGATAGAGCCATGTGTCGTCGAATCAATCCGGTTCAACACCGCGAAGCATCACCCACCTTGTCGCGTCTCCTCCTGGCTTGTAGCATCGTCAGAGGAGGTTCGACATGACTTGGGTTGTTCTACGCCCACCACCATCTCATTTGGGTCGTCCCCTTTCTAATTGGCCTCCACAACGGGATTTGGCCGTCAAAGGCTCTCTCCATTCTATGTAAGATTTTTGAACTCATCCGGGGCGTCCCGTCTCTAGTTGATCCCCAATAGCACTTTCCGTTCTACGGAAGATCTGGGACTCGAAGAACACCCGCGTCTTCCAAAATGATGTCCAGTCCGCTGGCCTCACTGTTAAGAAAATAACAAGCGACTTCACCCTCTGGTCCTCTATTAGATTCAAATACAAGGTCTCCCCCACCTTGTCTCCGCGTCAATCCCTCTCCCCGCACTCAAATGCTCGAGTGTCTGCTCCTCAAAGATTGCCTCAACTCCAAAAGCAATCTCTTCCACATGAACATAACCCCCGGTAGCTCCTGCCCCAGCTGCGAGGATGTGCTGCACATGTTCATCCAATGCCTGCATGCTACTCGGGTTAGGCAAGAGGGCCTTTCGAAGCTCACCACAATGGACCTCATCTGGGACGTTCACTCTCCACTTGGCCTCGTCAACGACATTTTGAGGCTCACAAGGTCGCCTCCTTGTCTTGGCGTCAATAACTCTCCTCGCGCTCAAATTCCTGGGTGTCTACTCTTCAAAGATCGCCTTAGCTCAAAAGCAATCTCTTCCACAAGAACATCACCCCCAATTGCTCCTGCCATAGTTGCGATCATGCTTCTCCATTCTCGGGGTTGCAAGACTTGGGCCGTTCCACACACCCCACCATCGACCTCATCCGAGACGTCCCCTCTCTGGTTGACCTCGACGATGAGATTTGACTATCCGTGGCTCTCTCTCCATTCTATGAAAGATTTGGGATTCAAGGAACATTTGTGTTTTCCTCAACAAAGACTAACCCATGGGCATCCCTTCACCCTTTGGTCCTTGAGATTCAAAGATCTCGCTCAGAATGTCGCCGCCTTGTCTTGGGGTCAATACCTCTCCCTCACGCTAAAATTCCCGGGTGTCTGCTCTTCAGAGATTGCCTCAACTCAAAAGCAATCTCTTCCACAAGAACATCACCTCTAGTAGCTCCTTGCCCCAATTGCGAGCACGGTACTCAAGTCTGGCAAAACTTGGGCCATTCCATGCCCACCGCCATCGACCTCATCTAGGACGTCCCCTCTCCGATTGGCCTTGAGAACGAGATTTGGAAATCCGTGGCTTGATGACCCACAAGTATAGGGGATCAATCGTTGTCCTTTCGATAAGTAATAGTGTTGAGCCCAACAAGGAGCAGAAGGAAATGGCAAGCGTTTTTCAACAAGGTATTCTCTGCAAGCACTAAAATTATCAGTAATAGATAGTTTGATAGCAAGGTAATTTGTAATGAGCAACAAGAGTAACGGTAACAAAGGTGCGGCAAGGTAGCCCAATCCTTTTTATAGCAAAGTGCGGGCCGGAATGGTCTCTTATAATAAGTAAAGCGTTCTTGAGGACACACGGAAATTTAATCTAGTCACCTTCATCATGTTTGTTTGATTCGTGTTTGCTACTTTGATAATTTGATATGTGGGTGGACTGGTGCTTGGGTGATGTTCTTACTTGGACAAGCCTCCCACTTATGATTGCCCCCTCTTGCAAGCATCGGCATCTGTTAAAGAATAATTAAGATAAATCTGACCATAGCATGAAACATATGGATCCAACTCAGCCCCTTCACTACAAAAAATACACTTCCGTGATGATACGTGTTTGTCATAGTAGGTCACGTTTTCTGTCATGCATGTACATCCATGATGCTTTTATGACAGAATCAAGAAAGTCATACCTGTGCTGTCGTAGAAGTGTTCCATGACAGTACCAAAATTATCATCATGGAAGTGTCCACTTTCATGACGATAAATGGCGCGTCATGAAAGTGCTTTCATCAAGGGTAACCGACACGTGGCATCCACCATAACGGGTCGCCGTTAAGCTATCGGGTTCCGGTTTGGATCCAATAACCCGTTAACAGCCCGAACCAATGGAGATTTTCCACGTGTAAAATTCTCATTCGCCGGCAGATCCACGTGTCGGCCCAGCGTTGGGACAGTTGTCATCCAGCGAATGGACGGGACACGCCTATGATACGTCGACACGTGGCTCGGCCCAACAGTGTCCATTCAGGTCACAAGGCCGGCCTGTTTGACTTGGTCAAAAGGTAGCGGCCGACCCACTTAAAGCCTGTTAGCGGCATGTTCGCATATAGGCCATTTATAGCCCGCTAGCTCACGGCCCATTATGTCCTATCCGAATTAGGCCCAATAGCATCATCTGGACCATCCAATATGATTCCAGCCCGTTGTAACTTCCCGCGCATGTATGGCCCATGACGTCTTTCGGCCCATATGAGGCTCTTTGTAACTCTTGGCCCATTAACAGCCCGTGGTGAAACTGGCCCGTAACGAACAGTGCATCGCTTTATACATATTATCGGCCCATTATTCCATTGAACCGTTTCCAGCCCGTGTTATCTTTCGGCCTTCTCAGGGCCCATTTATTCTTGGGCTGATTTGCAGCATTCGGTTACTTACGGTCCGTTACTGGCCTATTTCGGTTGTGGGCCAAATTCAACCCATGGTTAAAGTCGGCCCGTCTGTGGCCCATTATCCGTTGGGCCGTTTTCATAGCGTCATCAAATACGGCCGATTAACGACGGCCCGTTATGGTTGGCCCATGAACGAACGATTCCAACTCTAGCCCATTTGCGGCCCATAATGTAGTCCATTATTGGACCATGTTTGGCCAATCGATCATATGCCCCGTAGAAGGCCCATTGCTTCTACGACCCGTAGAAGGCCCATTGTTTCTACGGCCCGTAGAAGGCCCATTGTTTCTATGACCCGTAGGAGGCCCATGGTCACTACAGTAGATATATAGCCCATGGTTATTGTGGCCTATTTTTATAAAATAGGTTATTGCAGACACTAGCAAACCACGGAAAAAGAACTGCACTGACTACAAGCAAACAAATAAACAAGACAACAAGGAAATAAATAAGCAAGCAAATTACGCTAGGCTATCACGGCTATTACACATATTACACCCACTAGGCATCAAAGTTTGCCACCTGTGCAAATATGGGGAACAAAGCAGCATATTACATACACTGGTTGTCAGAGTTGGCGACGAGTGCAAATAAAGGCCACAGGAAAACAAGTCCATCACTGAAACCACTTCACAGGAGATCAAGAAACAATATCCTGGGTATCCACCATGCTAGCAAGACGCTTAGCAAGCTTATTAGCTTTCTCTTGTTTGACGCTTAAATCCTCCAGTGCTTGTTGTTGCACCAGAAAGTATGCATCTGAATTCTGCAGGGACTTCCTCAGCCCTTCGGCTTCCTGTCGTAGCACATCTGATTGATGTATTTCAACTTGAAGTTGAGACTCAAGAAGTTCAGGCAGCGAGTTCGAAGAGCTGGTGCCAACACTAGTGGCCAGTAACTAGAACACTACATCAAGACAGGACTTTGGGGTTTTCTCAATGTCTTCAATATACTTCCTCCGTCTAGGTGTGTAAGTCACATTAGAAAGAGCAGCGCGACCTAGGTGGATTGAGATTGGACGAGAAGAAGCACGACAAGTAGGGAAACTTCCAATAATAGCGGCTGGTTTTAAACGGAAATAAAATCAACATTGAATACATGAGTGCATGCAAAACATCAATCAATCTCTTGCCTAATCAAAGTCCAGCAGTGATGCATGCACTGGTTGGCACCTCCTCTTCCCCCTACACATATTCTACGTGGGTAGTAGTACGAGGCTGGGAGGGGAATGAGAAAGAAATTTAATGCAATGCGCCTAGGACTTTTGGGAATATCTGATTTTTGTAAGATGACTTATACACCTAGACGGGGGTAGTAG